TAGGAATTTATTTTTATGAATTTAAAAAAGGTGACCGATCACTTCGTCACACGAAACTTCGTCGCAGAATAATTTTTTTTTGTTCCGTTCGTTGTGTTCCTCTCAATTGATTCTTTTTTTAAATATAAACAAATAAAATAAAATAAATTAAAATAAATTAAACACTCTAAAGGATGTGTACAATAACAATAGACAATTGATTGTTCTAATGCATATGACTTTAATTGGGAAAACGGATTAATAAAAAATTTAAATACAATGTCATTCTGATGGAGCTCCAGTAAACGAAGAATAACTTAAAAAATATTGCGGCTAGCATTACTCTTTAATTTTTTTTTTGATTTTTCTCTTCTTTTCTTGGTTTTTTTCTTTTTTTTGTACTCAATTTGTTCATCATGATCTTATGTATCATGCACAAAATAAAGATGAATTAAATTGATCAATTTCATGTCTTGAAAAACAATTAATTGAGAGGGACACAACGAACAGAACGAAAAAAAATTGTTCGGCGACGAAGTGATCGGTTACCAACAGATCTTTTTATCATAAGTTTTGAAAATATCGTTTCTTCTATTCGATATGTAACAGTTTCATATCAAATAATAGAGCTGACTTTGATCGTTCAGCTCCTTTCATGCAAGTACTATTCGGTCGCTAAGTCTTTTCATATGAACTGACGTTTCTGAACATGCTACCGTATAGTCGACTGATTATGGCTTATAATAACTCTAATCGAAGTTAGTAACCTAAACTTTAAACTTAAGATGAAATACTTTTCAAAAAAAAAAAAACAAGCTGATTCCCAATTGTTGTGATTCATTTTCTTACAAATCAATAAACTATAAGATGTCACACATATATTCTCTATACTTTTAAAGATGTGGAATATTAAATATATCTAAGAATTCAATCATAAGCATCGTCAAATCTGAATTTCAAATTTCAACTAGATTAGATTATGAAGTTCTGAAGATTCATTCGAACATAAATATTTCAGAATTTCCTTAGACTCACTAAAAACCTTCTTATTGTGACCAAAAGATGAAATCAAAAGTTCAGACACAGTTGGCGAACTTTCCTTGTCAATAGCACATATTGTAGTTTCGAAAATGTTTTTTACTACAATCCATGTCAAAATATAATGGGCTCCACAATTTTTTTTTGCATAACGTTTGATTATAACATCATAGGATCTTTCGATGTACATAAGACTGACATTTCTAACTTGTTCTGCTCAAGAGTAATGAGATCTCCGATTTTATCCAAATGACCTTTGATCACTTGGAAAAGCAGCTAGATAGAGGCAACTCAACATACTAAGTTGAATCATGATCTTTTCGGTTCTAGGTTCGATATGACCTGATACTATTATTTGAATATTTCTCAAATTCGACAATCAGCCTCCGAGTCACGAAAGAGTTCATTGTTCGGAAATACTGAGGCAACAGAATTAGATCATTTTGAACCAAAAAAAAACAACAATAACCATTCGACTCATCATGATGAATAAAACCTTGACTAGCTGCTTTTCCGAATGATCAAAGATCAATTGGCTAAATTCGGTGATCTCATAACTCTCGAACGGAACAAACTAGGAATGTCGACCTCGTATAGATCAAAAGGGAAGAAATTTTTCTATTGATTATTTCTATTAGAAGTCGACATGAACAATGAAATAGCTTCAGAATTCGTCTTCGAAAAATCTCTATCAAACAATCATTTTATTGATGAGTTAAATTTCGATATAAACCAATGGTCCTAGATCTTCTTTTTTGAGTGGTGAAAATCGCAAATCTCTATAATCTTTCTATCAAAAGTTATTTTAAAAAAAAAAGTGGAGCACGTTACATTATAAAATGGATATGTAGTGTAGCATGCACTATATTGTTGATCGTAATCGAAAAGTAAAAATTTTTTCTTCGATTTTTATAACAAAAAAAAAAAAGAAGATATTTACATTTGTTCATCATTTATTGGATCATATCCAGGTTGTAAAAATTTCATTAAATTCGAATAAGTTTTATAACATAAATTATTCGATGTTAATACAGAATATTTACTTGATGAATGAACAATATAAAAAAATGTACTTGCTGCTTCAGCATGAACAAGTATATATGGATAAAGTTGATATGTATCTTTGATATGTTTATTATCTAATATATCAATTAATTCATCATGATTATCAATATTAATCATTTGATTATTTCCAAGAAAAAAATTTAAACCAATCATATATGATTCAGCACGATATTGTATAATATCAAAATTTAAATTAACTTTATTTAAACGTGATGAAATTTTTATTTCATAATCATATTTTTGTTCACCTGTTAATGCTATATTAAGTACAAATGGAGATGTTATGGATGTATTATAATTTATAAATGATTGTAAATATAAAAGAACATGATCAAATTCATCATGTGTTAATGTAAATAAACGAAAATTAGCTTCTTGTTCAATTGTTGTTTGTAATTTAACATTTGGTATAGACCAATTTTTATGTTCATTATTAATAATTAATGATATAAGATAACGTTGAAAAATAACTGTAGAATAATCGATATTTTGTGGATAAAGTTCTATTAAAACAAGAGATACACCAGTCATTGTTATATTAATTCCAATTGCAGGTACTTCATATGATGATGACGAATAATCTTCTTGTTTATCATTGAAAATAATATTTGATTCTTCAACTAGAGAAGGTACAGCTGACGAGAAAAAGAAAGAAAAGATCGGATTCAATTTTTTTTTTTTGCTAAAAATTAAGTATAAAAGTTTTATTGATTAGAATTATATTCCAGGTTGGAAACAAACTGTGAGCGCAGTCTCTGTGGAACTAAAATATGAAACACGATATAGCTGTGCTTGCTAATCAAAAGACCATTGTTTTATTTTATCTATTTTTGGACACATTTATTTCACCATAATTTTATTTAGTTCGCGAGAAATGCAATAAAGAAGTCTTGGTTTTCGGAGTTCACATTAAAAAAACTTTCAGAACGGAGTCAAAATTAGAAAAAAAACATGATTCCAGGGGTCGCCGATCAACCAGTTGCCACAAACAGGGTAAGCTTATGGAGATTAAACCTCTCACTCTCAAAGCTTTCCTTTGACTGTGCTTACGAAGAAGCAGAGTTAATATAGAAAGTCGTTCAAAGATGCAGAAAAACCCTTTGTTCATCAGTTTTTCTTTTCAGAGTGTGTGGATGGATGTGGATATTCTTCTTTTCATCCACAGTCGCCACTATTGGGGGAAGAGAACAAAATGAACCTGTTTAAAATTACTGCGTCACCTAAATCACTGGTCATGCACTTTCTGTGATATCTTACGAAAGTGTTGTGATCATCATATACAAAAAGTACATTATATTACTCATGTCGCACTACCACTGGTATTCCGATTCCAGCTATAAACGATTGCAGAGTGGTTTCTATCAATATTTGCCAGAAAGAAGTCAAATGAATCGAGAGAAAACAGTAATTTAAGAATATACTTAACTAATAAATTGTTTTTGAAGCGCCATCTATAATACAAATTTATCTCATAACTGAGGCTGATCTCGGCTCTGTATCTAGTACAGACTACTCAGACTCATCAATATTACTGGAGTCCATCGAAAATGACTCAATTCTGTGAATTTTAATCTACTTCAAAAATATTCACCCGTTTTAAGAGAAAATATTAATTGAATATTTAATAAACTATTTGATTGGAATGTGTTCAGTAAAAGAACACTTGAAGTTACTAACTAGACATTGAGCTAGATTTCGTACATAATATTCTGCAGTATTTATTAAACGAATTTTAGATCTGTTAACGATTAAATCATACTTTTTCACGTTTTTCTTATATTCTATTTTCACTATGACGATTCGAAACTAAAAGTTGAAGATCTTTATTAAGATATTAACTTGTAGATCAGAAGCTACCATACAAAATGTCTTATCTGAAGGCTTTCTTTATCTTTTTACAAGAAACATGTATTTTCATTTTTCCCAAATAGTCATTTTGGAAAAACCGACAACCGTTTTATGTTGAAAGGGGCTCTAGAAAAATGTTTTTACTCTCTGTAGACCTTAGTGAATTGTATCTACTATACAAAAGAGTTCATGCTTGCGACCTATTTCTGAAGAGATCTCATATTTTTAATCAATTTCCATTGTACGATTCGACATTTGGAACCAGACTGTATTTTCGAATTTCGACATAAATCTTTGTCCTCCTGAAAATCTCAAGTAGACTAGTTTGTATAGAAAAGTTCTGCATTTTCAGACTAAGTCTTTTCGAAATATGAACTTTCAAAGTATAGATGCGTATCTAAAGATAGCGTATACAACATGTATTTTGTTTTTCAAAGCTTCATATCTCGGAGAAACTTTGTCCGAAAATCTAGACATTTTTTTATTCAAGCTATTCTATTTTAAAGAGAACCGGCTCGACGAAAAATGATGAAAATTTCATGGCAGATAGATCTTGATAAGTAGAGCACAAGTCGCTATAGACTCAAAATTTCTACATGCATCCTTCAGAGAGATAGATGGGTCGTGATGGTCAGAAATCCTCCCCCCCCCCCCACACACACAAAACTTTATATTTCACTTTTTGTAGTTGCAATTTTTTAATAGAGACTAGGATAAAATCATGGCGCATGTTTTACTTTTCTTTTGAAGAGATTGTTCTCACAGCTCAGGAGAAGCAGAATACTAGAAGTACTGCCAAAAAGAATATGTTATAATTCGACCAAAGTACTCATAGAAAAATTTGAGCCTGAGTGGAAGAAAACGAGGGAAAGCTTCGTATCTTTTGTTCAAAAATTGAATTTGAGAAAAACATAAGACAAACTTTCCTGTATGTATCAGGACTTTTTTCTCCCATTAAACTAACCGAAAATTGGTCGTGTTCAGTAGTGTTAGAGGTCCATGAGCCATGCTCTTAGCACCTTTGAAATGAGAGATACTCATTATCACATAGAAAAGTTTTGCATACAAAGAATAATCAATGCGCGAATTTTTCTGCTAGGAAGTTCGAGAGTTCAATTTAATAAAAGTATTAATGGGCAACGAAATGTCCTCATTCATATGACATTTGACATAGGACAATTCGAAGCTATATTAGCGATAGAACCCAAAGATGAAAAAAAAATGTTGCTTTTAATATTTAGAAAGGCAGTCTGAATATTTTTATGGCTAGCTGCAAATACCAGACCCTATGGCGAAGCTTGACTAAAAATGTTCGGTCTTATAAAAAATAGGTCATAAGCACGAACTCTTTTCATGGTAAGCATAGCTCACTTAAGTCTACCAGATGCACAGAGCCCAAGGTGAAGGGCAAACCGACACTTGTGTATGTTTCCTCCTCAAGTTCAATACCATATTTTGTAGAGAAATATTTGCTCTATAAACCCAATCGACTGCAACAAGTTTTTTGCGTGTTCGCAAAGGAATTTATAGCATAAATAGAATTCCTCTTGACTTCTCTTTAAAATAATTTTTTTAGGTCTTTCAAGAAGTTCCTCACTACTCTTAAACAATGTTTCTAAGCTCATATTCAAATTCTGCTGATCATTCGTTATATATTCGACGAATTTAATTTCAATATTTTGTTTTCATTGTTTTAACTTACTTATTGGAGTTAATTTTGATGCTGACTCTTCAATAACAACAACTTGAGATTCTTGTTCTGGCACTGTTGATATAGATGAATTTGATCTTGATGAAAAAGTTGATGA